GAGACTTTCGCTTCTAGCGTAGAAATTTTATCTTGAAGTTCTTGACTGTCTTTTCGCAAACCCTCAATATCAGAGACACATGCATTTATTGTTGCTGATTGAGAAGTGACAAGTTGAGTCAGATCATGTATTTTCGTGTTGCACATAGATATCGTATTATTGAGTTGCATAAACTGTGCCATAATAGCTTCAAAGTGTGTAGTTGTGATATCCGAGGGATTGGCAATGCATTTCTCGCATTTCCAGGCCCCTAGCGTATTTGATTTCGGTAAAACTGGCTGCGGCCGGGCACACGCACTGTGCCACTGTAATTTGCATACTGAGCATATCAGCGAACTATCGCTGGTAAATATTGCTTCGAGACACGTTTGACAATTTGGCATCGCGTATAGGCACTGCGTATAGGTATTGAATGCGGGTGTTTGCAAAAACTAGTTCTTCAGTAAGTAAACAAAGGTCTTACTCAATAGAGTCCAGTGTATGGAGACACTACACAGCTACACACACTTTCATAAGTCCTAATGTCTCTGTATATATCATATATATAATTTTCACGATTGATCTAGTCGGGTTATCAGAGCACTACTTATAAGAGATGTGCACCGTTCGAACGCTACAACTAAACTCCAAATACAAATGAGGAGTTGGCAGATATGCATTACATGTATGGTTTGGCTGATGGCAGATCGCCGGAAGCTAAGCGATTGTATCGAGAGCGGTTCCCTAATAGAGTAATACCAGATAGGCGAACATTTGCAAATGTACATAGGAGGTTGACTGAAACAGGTACTTTGCAGGCGAATAATCAATTAAAAGGAGCCCATTGCACTGTAAGAACTCCAGAAATTGAAGAAGCAGTTTTAAATTCCATTGAAGAAAATCCTGAACTGAGTACTAGAAAAATTGGAAATAATCTGAATATCTCGCACGTCCTAGTTTGGAGAATTTTGCACGATTTTCTATTATACCCATACCATATTCAACGGGTCCAAGCGTTACTTCCCCGAGACTTTCCCTTGCGTGTTAATTTTTGTCAATGGTTTCTGGAGAAAATTGCTCATAATCCCTTGTTTGACCGTGAAATAATGTTTACAGATGAAGCTAACTTTTCCAGAAACGCAATCAGAAATTTTCACAATAACCATATTTGGGCAGACGAAAACCCTCACGCAGTTGTAGAATTCAACCATCAAGAACAATTTTCGGTGAATGTCTGGGCTGCAATTGTTGGAAATTACTTAATTGGACCTTTTTTCTTGCCAGAAAGGCTAAACGGCCATAATTATCGCCGGTTTCTAGAGGAGGAATTGTTCATATTGCTAGAAGAAGTACCAGTTTTAATTAGAAACAGAATGTGGTTCATGCATGACGGCGCGCCCGCTCACTTCAGTGTTGCAGCAAGGGAATATTTAAATCACACATTTGAAAATCGATGGGTAGGTCGTGGCGGACCTCAACCATGGCCCCCTAGGTCCCCAGATTTGAATAGTTTGGACTTTTTCTTATGGGGGCATCTTAAAAGTCTGGTTTATCGCAACCCAGTGAACACTCTAGAAGAGCTGAAGGATCGTATAAGAGCTGCATTCGATTTAATAAGAAATACTGGAGGTATACTTCAAAGAGTGCGTGACAATATGAGGAAAAGAGCTGAAGCGTGTATCCTTCAAGGTGGAGGCCATTTTCAACAACTCATCTAGTTTCTATGTTCTATAATTTTGTTAAAATTATTAATAGTAGGTATTGTTTTTAAATAAGAATCGTTTATTAGTTATCTTTTGTTGTTGAAGAATGTTATGTTATTCCATTAAATGTGTAAAAGAAAAGAACAGTCTTCTAACAAAATCATTTAGGTACATAGTGTGGTTGTGGTCACTAATTGGTGACTAAAGACTAGATATTTTCTTGACATCTTTCACAAAAACAAATTATTGAAATTAACCAGTGGCCACCCAATTAACCTATTATCTGTACTTAGACAGTAAGTGGCATGCCATCGACTTTTCTTAAAATAATGAGCAGATTTGATCTCTTGAATTGTTTCGGTCCGAATCACGGTTTTCACCTAAAAAATAAAATCTATTTCTCTGCATTGTGGTATTGTCATATTAACGATATTGTTATGATCATGCAGTGAAAAGGTTTTTATTTTTTTTAAGCGAAAACCCTGCATCAGATTGAAAAAATTGTAGAGATCAAATTTGCTTAGAAATGATTGAGAATCTCAAGAATTATTTCAATTTCGAGATTAATCAGTGGCGTACCATCAATGTCTGCCAAAATAGGTATGTGAAATTCCATACGAACGCCACTGGTGGCAACAAAAAAAAATGTGGTACACTAACTGATGCCTCTTGATACCTAGTACACGTATACCAAATTTCATTAGAATATTTAAAGTGGTATTACAGATATTAATAAAAAACTATTTATTTTTGAGAACTTTACCACCCTGTATCTCAAAAGTTAAGACGTTTAGGTCATACGTTCATATGAAATTTTCTTCTTAAAATGGGCCCAAGAATCGCCTCCTCAAATATTGACATTCAATTAGGAAACACCCTGTATATAGATCGTATTAAAATTCATATAACTTTATGCTAGAGACAAGAAATGTTTCATCATCGTTGTTTGATTATTAATATCTAAATATTCACATTATTTGTTTAAGGACTATTTTCAATATTGGGTTACTGTTGTGACCGCCTATCGAAGTCTCCAGCATCCAACATTCAAAAGCTATACAGTACTGAAGGGAAAGAATGTTACTGTTTCAACAACCTACTTCACACTTCATTACTCACATAAAAAGACTTTTCGTCAACGATATTTTAGTCTTATTTTCCAAACTGTATCATGAGATATTTGATGTTATGGTGCATGAATATACAGAAAAAACAAGGTGCTCAGAACAAACGATCTACAGGGTACTATTTGAATTTTTTAAATGGAATACCCTATTTTTCATTGCATTGTTAGATTCTCCCTGAAGAAGTGATTTCATCAAATTATTACACTTGGGGTCTAGCGAAAATGATTACAGATATTCAAAATCGAGATTTTGCAACTCTAGTTTTTTTTGTGACGAAACTATTCATTATTGATCAAAACGGCTTTCATGTCTGTATTTTAACTTTTGATTCATTATCTACTGACATTTGACAGGGTGATCAGAATTCTGAATCTTGAACCACACTGTATATGTTCCAATTAAATGTCAGTAGATAGTAAATCAAAAGTTGAGATGGGGACATTGGAGCCGTTTTTCCCAATAATGAATAGTTTCGACACTAAAAAATCCTAAAGTTGAAAAATCTCGATTTTGAACACCCTACCTCTGAAAATACAATGAAATACAGGATGTTCCATTCGAAAAAATCAAGTCGTCGGTACTCTGTAGATCGTTTGTTCCGAGCACCCTGTAGTTTCTGATGAGACGGGAAAAAATTTCTGAAAAATCATTTCAGATGTTTTTTCACATTTTCAAATAGGTTCAAAAATAAGTGAGCTAGAGGGTCACATTTATGGTGAATCACCCTGTATATCAGGATATGCTGGAATATGAATTCTTCACTACTATTGAATATACGTAAACGTCTATTTTATTTGTGATTACTCATTTCTCCAACTATATCAAGAATACACACGGTGATGCATAATATCTGATGAGTGATATTCGAATTCGAATAGGTATATGCTAGTGAATTCAAGAACGGCTTAGAAAATTTATATTTGGTCAAATGTATATTGATGTGAATTTGACAGTATACCTACACCCATTGTAAGTTGAAAGTATTATTTAGAAAAAATGGTTCCAATAATTGGTATAGTAGATACTGATAGTATTCATTTTTTCCGATTTAATAATGGAATATGCCATATTATGATCACAGTAATTCTGGTGGAGACCAAATCGATGGTATTTTTCAATTAACATATCCCTTTCAGTCCCAATGGGATGAATATGTCCCTCTGTAAGTTTATGAATATTTACTGGTATGAATGTGTCCCTATTTCGAATCTTTGCTGTAGTGCAAAAGCATCAAATCAAAATAGAATTGGCAAGACTGCGACTCCTCGAGGATTCAGTTAGCCATTTATTTCCACACGTGTTGCATTGTATTGATTGTTTTATATCTGTTCTCCTCCATTTCCATCGAGTTTTTGGGCAGATGGGGGATTATTCTTCTGCATTTATTATAGTTTGATACTGAAAAACTACGAGACAGAGTCATCATCTCCTGATTGGCATGATCAACAAGATAAAGATATCGACAGTGATGATGATCGTCTGTGCAGAATGTGTCGAGTACCACTCTGTTTCACGCCATATCATACAAAAAACTGTGGAATTATATTGAAATATTTGGACTTTTTTTGTAGGTTACCAGTGGGACATATTATATGACCCATTTAACAATATACCAATGGGGCACATGAAATGTACCATTTGTCAATTTTGTTTCTTTACGACAATGTCATAAACTACCAATTCCCATACAGATCAACCTAGAATGTAACCTACACATATTACGCCATCTAGTAGTTAGTGGAAGTAGCAGACCGATGGTTGGTCAAATCATTACTGCCACTGCCGTGGTCTGCAAGAGAAATGCATAAACGGTACCTGACGGTACGAAGTTTCCTGTCTAACCACCTATTCAAATCACCGCGTAATAATTATATTCCTACTACTAACAGTACTAACTAAATGTCCGTTTTCCATCAATTACTTGTAATATGAATATGGTGGAATTCGTAATATTCTCTTCCTTATTCTTGAAAGATAATTTTAATGACTGATGCACTGAAATTTGTAATTTTATTATGAAATTCCTAACGGTCTCTTAACATCTTGGCGCTTCCGCCAATTTCAAATAGTATATTTTGGCGAGTGTACATAAACCGCCAAAGCGTGTGCACCATATTATAGAAAAAATATAAATAGGCGATTCGTATCTGGACGTTGGGTGATCTGTGGTTCTTCTATCTATCGTTCTTACCGTCTCAGCACTTTGCTAGATGGGGCGACACGCATTTATCTGACGAGGAATCGTAGGAGGTCCCAGCGGGACACTGGATGATTTCTGCTACTCCGTTACGACAGAGGCATGCTGCCGAGCATTGCGGGTTCAGACGCAACACTGTTCCGGGCGTACAGCTCTTTATTTTATCCATGTAAGCTGAAATTTCGAAGAAAAATATATGCTGGGTCTCCGGAAACGTAATTTCCTGAATGATAGGGCTAATTGAGTTAGCCAAAACTAACGAAAATGGCAGAGAACCATATTTTTATGTTGCTTGAGAAGCATGATTATCTCACTCAAGAAGCAACATCTTCTCACCTATAGATTAGATTTAGAATGGGGCCTTCGGGCTATCTGCCTCCACACCGCGACCTTTTCAGATCTATTGTGTCTGCCCTCAAAATCGATTAGAGTTCTTCGGCTAGCCCCGTCTTCTCTATGAGACTCCATAGGCTAGCTTTCAGATCCCCTGTGTATCTCTGGGCTTCTGGTTTTTCCTCACCCAGCGTAAGGAACCTTAGTCTTGACAAGCCCTCACAGTGGCAAAGTATGTGTACTGCTGTTTCCTCCTCTTCCTGACAGAACCTGCACAGCAGTTCTTCAGTCAGACCTATCGTACTCATGTGTTTGTTGAGCCTACAATGCCCTGTGAGAAGTCCCACTAGTATTCTAGTTGAACTTCGTTTCTGGCTTAGTAGATATTCTGTGAATGTTGGCGATGGTTTTTTAATAAACTCTTTTGCCTGTCTCATTCCTGGCGATTTGTTCCACCATTCTTGAGATTTGGTTTGCATCCATGATTTGATACTAGTCTTTTGTATAGCTTTCGCAATACCACAGAAGGGTTCTGGGCCATTCAGAGCTTTGTTTGCTCCTGCTCGGGCAAGTGAGTCTGCCTCTTCATTGCCCTCGTACCCTGTATGTGCTGGTACCTATAAGGAGCAATATTTTTTTTATGTTATGGTTCCCACGAGAAGGGATATCCTGTAATGTTCAGAGGACATCATGAGAACCAAGGGAAATAAGGTAGGAATCGGTGTTCTTCTCAAATTTCTGGAGGTTATATGCCTCGGGGAACACCTCTCGTGGCAATGTGTTCCAGAGCCTTGCTGTTCGTTGGATGAACGAGTATTTGGAAAGAGATGTTCTGTAGGTCTCCAAAGTGACCACGAAGGATTGCGAAGTCTCAACTCGACGGGTTAATCTCGCGGGGACTGCCAAGGGAGCAACAATTGTTGATATTTCAGAAGAGCATCGTCCATGAAAATATCTATGAAATAAAACCAGATCGTCAACTTTTCCACGGTGTTCCAGAGAAGTGAGTGAGTTTGTGAGCGAGGCATCACCCACGAGACGAATCGCCCTTTTGTGGACAGAATCCAACAGTTTCGGGGTATGTTTGGTTGCTGCAATCCAAATATGAGAACAGTATTCCAGCAAAGGTCGGATCTGTGCCTTATAGATCATAAGCAGCTGACTGGAAGTGAAATAGCTCCTGGCCCGAAACAGACAACCAAGTTTTTGGGATGCACTTTAAGCAATTGATCTCACGTGATTTTCCCAAGAAAGGTTATTGCTGATAGTAATACCAAGCATCGAAATGGATGTCGAAGGTATGGTTACTCCTGACGAGCTTATGTTGGGCACAGTGCGAAATCGAATTTTCTAGAGAAAAGGCATGCAGATCATTTGGCCTAATAAGCAGAATCATCTAAGGAGCAAAACCAACTTGCCTAGGAAGCATCATCATCTTGCCTAAGAAGTAAGACCAGTTTGCTGAATAAGCAAGTTACATTTCTTGGGCAAGCGTTTCAGTATGAATCTTTTTTTATTTTGCTCAAGAAGCAAAATGATCTTGCTCCTCAGGCAAGATGATCTTGGTATTGTTGAGCCAGATGATCATATTGCCTAATATCTTATATTGAGCAAGATACAATTTTGCTTCTCAAGTAAGATGATACTGCGTGTTGGTCCAGAAGATCTCGTTCATTGAGCGAAATTATCTTACTTCCTGAGTAAAATCTTGTCGCTTAAGCAAGATCAGCATGCCTCTTCAGCAAGATGATATCGCTTGTTAGGCAAAATGATTTTTGTGTTCTTAACTCAGATGATCTCGCGTATTAGGCAAGGTGATCTTTTTTTTCTTCGCCCCACACCACTTGATAGTGAGGTTGGGTTTGGAGGGGAAGCGAAAAAGAGTTGGCCAAGGAAGACCGAAAAGAGAGATTGAAAAAGGGAAAGAAAAGACGATATAACAAGTTAAGGTTTGGTGAGTATTCGGCTAAGGTACCTTGGGTTCACCATTCCCCTAGTCACAAGTTATGAGCCACTGAGGGACTTATTAAGCAAGATAATATGGCCCCTTGAGCAAGGTGATTTGCTTCTTGAGCGAAATAAGATAGATGAATATGTGTACTTGATATATATAAATCTATTGCGCTTCATAACGGAACTACTGACTTTGAAATTTTGATTAAGAGTATCATTTTCATTTACAACTCTTGAACGGTTGCTATTCGTATTACCTTCTGGAAGTTGCGGAACGAAATGGTTCTTTCGTTGAAAAACATTCGGTGTTTTGTTGCAGTCCACTCTGTTGGGATAGTCGCAAATGCCAATTTCCTGAAATAAAAATTATAACTAATGTAAAACCGTAGAAGGGCAACAACAAATTCAATTACTGATTCGAAAAGAAAAAATTAAAGCTGAGGCAGAAATAGGCATCCTCTATATTGCGTTCACAGTATGTCCCAAAATTCGAAATTCACAACTGTTCCACGACCAACAAATTTTAGGAATCAGTTGAATGATTTAAATTTGCATGCATCGTTCAGCAAAGACAAACTATTGTTGAATATACTTATACTTGTTGCAAAATCGAATATCTTACATCGTTGTAAAGAAATCCTGATGGGCAATCATGTTTGGCAACAATTTTATAGGAAACGCATGTGTAGTACGAGCCACAATTAGTTTTGTCTCGATAAGCCCCAAATTCCACTGGACATTCAACGTTACTTCCTACAAAAAAAAACAATGAATAATCGTAATTGATCCTATGAAGAAGTGATTGTATACCTTCATGTTTGGATGCTGATGGATCAGTGTTGACTGCTCGCTGATAAATCACAGGTTTTTTTGAACAATCTACCCTGTCTTCATAATCGCAGACACCAATGTGCTAAAAATATACACACATGAATAATGAAATGTACCTACTATCAGAATTTGAACTTCTCAACTGAGCAGAAAAACAGCATTATATATTGTTTCAATTATAATATACTTAGTAGTGTCACCATAACTGCACACCTTTATGAATTCAAATTTTACATCAGATTTTTTCGTCTATTTCTTCTTTAGTGGAAAAATGATCAATAAGTGTATGATAGCACATTTATAATTCGAAAGCCTTGTTGAAGCAGAATTCAATTGTGCATTCAGTTACTTGATAATATACAGGGCATTTGATTTTATGAAAAATGTTTTGGGACTTTCGAAAACTTCCAAATGACAATATATTTTTGACAACTCTGTATAATTCTTGGTGAAATCTTCGATCTCATTTCAGAGATCATTATGTATACTCGCTCTGGTGTATATTAGAAATTTTAATATTTGAAAATTCTTGAAGATAAAGGTACGATTGAAAATTTCTATATACATAAATAGGAATCATACGATTCTTTCGAAATAATACGTTTATATCACAAAAATATAATAAAATACAGGGTGTTTCTTTCAAAATAAGAATTTTTCTGTTCACTCCTGATTGAATCAGCTCCTGGCGATATTTCACAACGGTTGTTTATTTTATTGATTCAGATGATAATCGAAAATTTCGAATATTTATTCGAATGGGAATATCTGAATCTGCCAAAGGGCGTGTTACTCTCTGTATCAGACATTTTGATGTCTCATGCTTGTTGACCTTCAATCTTTGATGAAATCAACTATAAAATATTATACGAGTCAGTTATAATTTTTGTCGGTTACTCAGCCGAAAAGATACATACAATGATGAAGATGGAAAGCTCTAATTCCGAGTGACAATGGAAAATGAAAAAACTCCACCGCTCTGTGTGAGAGTCGAACTCACAACCTCTTGGTTACATGCCCAACGGTCTGCCAATTGAGCTAACGGGACATCCGTCGATAAATCGGCAGGGAGGTCGAGTTCTCATCACACACTAGGCGGCAGAATTCCATCCAATTCCCAAAGTCACTCGAAATTATGCACTAAACGAAGCATCGCTAGCAGGATGATACTATACAGTCTCCATATTTCCCCGATCGTCCTCTGGCATGATGATGAGGATCTTCATCATCATAATATATATCTTTTCGGTTGAGTAACCGACAATAGATATTCACGTTACTAGTCCGGTAAGTACACTTTTACAGTACGAGTGAGATGTTTACGGACGAGGCGCAAGCCGAGTCCGGAATTTCGAAACGAGTACTGTAAAAGTTTACCGGACGTGTGACGTATATAACATTTTATTTCATACTGCTAAAAAACAAAAATGAACAGTGAAAAATAAGACATATTTAAAATTACGACCGAAGAATGTAGGCCTAGAGGACCTTTTCATTGCATATCGTAAAGGCAGGTGCATTTCCCAAATGGTAGGCATTCATTCTATTGCAGATGCTCCCAAAAAAATAGCGACATTTCTGGGGCTGCCTGAAGCAGATAAGTTTACGGGGCATTGCTTTAGAAGAACATCTGCCACAATACTGGCTGATGCTGGAGCCGATCTTCTGGTACTTAAGAGACACGGGGGATGGAAGAGCTATTCGGTGGCGGAAAAATATATCGAGGATTCGATCGAGGAGAAAAACAGGGTATCTCGCATGATTCAACATGGAGAAAACTTTGTTGAAGTGCTACAACAAAAAAATGGGAATGTATCAGCAAGTAGCAACTCCCCAATAAATAATTCATCCAATGGAGCTCCTGGTATCCACAGGACCGTCTTTCGCCTATTAGAGGCCATGGGCACATTAGAGAATAATGGGGCCCCTATGACTATGATAAAGTACTATAGGTATTTTGTTAGAATAGAGGAATAACGAAGAAATGCAAAGTTTTAGCATTATTTTCATTTCTTTACAGTTACAGATTATGATGAATAGATTATATCATGTAATCCACACTATAAAGTAACCAGCATCCACTATAAGTCCTTATACTCCTTATATAAGTATCGATGCTGATGGAAGAGGTACTCTCTTCGAGATTTGAGTTGAACACAATCGTTAATAACACTTCAGAATCTATGTTTTCGAGCATATCACATTCTATGGACTAACGACAAACTATTTAATCTCTCTTGAAGCATTGTACTTCTTAATTCACTTTTTATTCGTTTTAATTTGGAGGAGGAGCGTTCCCCACTGCAGTTATAGTTACCATCATGCCTAAGAAAGATTCTCAGTGCGATTATTGCGAAAGACAATTGAAATGAAAAATTATATTAAAATTTATTAAACATGCTGCATTCGGTAAGCCTGATTTTCAGGCGGGAGTTGAGTACCTATCATGACTAGGGGGCCCCAATTTTCGCGGGGCCCTGGGCACGTGCCCAGTTTGCCCAGTGGGGAAGAGGGGCCTGGGTATCCATATTCATGGGAACGAAAATTTAACGGTTAATATTAATATTAGCAATAAGTAATTTCTGTTTATTGTTTTGCTGTTGAATTTTTAATGAATGTATTCATGCTTTTGACGCATAACTGAGTTTTCAATAATTACAATCCGGTAATATTACGTACGCCTATCCTGTAAAAGTCTATTTTCCGGATTGAAATCAGGTACGTAAAGGTATGTTCTATGATGCACTAAGAAATAAAAATTATGACTGGCTCCTATGTGTGATTGCCTTCGGATATTTCCGTATACAAGGAAAGACAATGCCAGAGGACGAACGGGGAAATATGGAGACTGTATAGTACCATCCTGCCAGCAGTGCCAGCGATGAGTGACTTCGGGAATTGGAAGGAATCTGCCGTCTATAGTGTGTGATGAGAACTCGACCTTCCTGCCGATTGATCGACGGATGTCCGGTTAGCTCAATTGACAGAGCGTTGGGCATGTAACCCGGAGGTTGTGAGTTCGACTCTCACACGGGGAGGTGGAGCTTTTTATTTTTCCATTGTCACTCGAAATCAGGACTTCCATGTTCATCATTATATGTAAAATATCAATTTTACTTGAGCGATTTGGTCTAAAGTGGACCACACTGCATAATTATATGATGGAAGTATTTTCAGAAATGAATAATAGGCGTCTAGTGGTGAAATTATTTTAAAATGCCGACATTGTCAATGTGAGAAACGTCCAACAATAAAAAAATTATTTCATGGTTATCGTCCAATAATATGCAAAGTCAACTTACATCACTGAATTTGAATCCTTTTGGACACTCGAATTTGGCGACTACTTTATTACCAATGCATGTGTAATAAGATCCACAGTTACTGTTATCCCTAAAAGTTCCAGATTCCAAAGGACATTCCGCTATATCCGGAATTGTATCTGTGAAATTTTTCAAAAATTAATAGCCGGTCAACTGTTTTTTTTGTTTTATGTACAAGATGTTTCATTAATGATGCACAAAACCCCTCCGAGGTCATATTGTTTTGGTCGAGATATAAGAAACTTTCATATAAGCAAATATCCGAAAATGATGTCTCTCATCGACATTTTTAATAAGTCAGCTAGGGTATGTTCAATTTGAGTAGTCCTAAAGACTAAAGAGGACCTCCAGTGCAGGCTGATGGCACATTTTGGCTCTTTTAATAGGTAGGTACGTTAGTTTTTGTCCTGCCATGTTACACGATTGATTTAGTAATCGACCTTTTGATTCTCAATTCATTTAACCTCCTGAAATGAAGCCAGATACAAAAAAACTCAATAAACCAAAGAAGATGAATTGTCACGAAAGGATATTTTCCAAATTATTCTCAAATATTACTACCACTATTATCATTATTTCACTGTTATAATTTATCGAGTTTGTTATATTTCTCAGCAATTCAATTTTCCTCATTCGTGACAAAACATTTTTCAATAAAATGAACATTTGAGGTGACCGATCGGAGTAAACGTACCAAGAGGGACTTGATGAATTTCGGTCCGAATAGCGGACGGTTGCTTGTGGCAACGGGGATGTCCCAATTGGGACATCCCCAAGTTTTGGTGTTAGATTATTGTAAGTACCATTTTTATTATTCATTGAATCTTCAACCTAATGCCTCTTCAAGGAATGTCAAAATTGTAATTTATCATTAATAAATCCATATTTGTTTTTGTTGTTCAAACTTCTGCAAATCCCAACTAGCAAAGGCAATAAGTCACATTCGTGACAGTATTTTGAGTTGCATCCGTTGAAAAAATTACAAACGCTCTAAAAAATCCACTGAATGCTATATTTTTCGTGTACAGAAATCGTTTTCCCCAAGAAAACCAATCGTATTTGGACATGTGTTTATATGGACCTCTTTTCTCATTTTGACTCGGAGAAAATTACTTCGAAGTTTCGTGCTACAAACAATAACTGTTCATTTATATATTTGTTAAAAATTTTTTCCCAATATTATCATAGGTTGGTTGATATTAGTAGATACTTACTTCCAAATGAACTTCTATCTCCGCATTTGACATTGCCGGCATAATCACAATATCCTTTGACAGAAAACAACAGTCCTTCAGGGCATTCTTGCTCAATGACATTGTCATCCCAACAATTGACGAACTTATTACATGCTTTGCTTGGGAATTGGCCTCTTGGTTTCAAGCAATATTTCTTAAGTTCAGGATCAACTACAATCAGGAATAAAAATAATAAATTATCATTATATATAAAGGGTGTTATTAACCCTAACAAGGCTCAAGCTAATGAAAAAGTATATTCTTGAAAATAGTGAATCTGATAATTCTCATGACAAATAAACTTGTAATTATTTGTGTCAAGCAAATATATTCCTGAATTCAAAAAATTGTAATCATTCTCTCAAATGATCCTGTTATTGAATACAAACAAATCGATTTATTTGATTGGTAGTAGAGATGTTTTACCCAAACAATTTTTATTTAGATCAAATAAATGGAATCCAAATAAACCCATATTCTCAATTCAAATATGCACCAGCTGCCTTATTGTTATTTTGCGAAACTATTTGTATTTTATTCAGCGTTATCTATTATCTTAGCATTTTTTTCAGTTTCGGTGTGAAAATTTCTTACCGAATACTACTCTATCCTCAATTACAAACTGGATATTATTCTTCAAACACGAATATTCAGAGAATTATCCCTCGTCTTCAACTCGACTTATTCGTGTTCTCGAAAAAATTTCCGGTGATAATTGAAGCTCTTATGATATTATCTGACTATTCCACTCTTGATATCGATAACTAATCATAATCGACCATCTTTACGGTTTCTTCTGTATTCGATTCAGTATATTCAGAAACTGCCTTCTCGATATCCATTATTTATATAAGACTATTAACTCGAGCCCTTTTTGAAAATTCACCTCTAATTGGAATACAGGATGAAAAGTTTCAATTGAAGCTTGTTTCTTGATATCGATGATTCTTATCATCTGATTTCCAATATTTATTGACCAAGTTTGAGACACAGAGTATTGTTGTTCAATGTACTGAGTGTTTCACAACTTATCTGATAAATTAAGAACTCTATAGAAAACAATGATGTTAGAAGCATTATCTCCAGATCTGAATCCGATTGAACATGTGTGGAGCCGAATGAAACTTGACCTATCGAGAAGGCGAGAGGCACCCCAAAATAATGACAACCTTAACCAATCTATATTAGAAGAATGGGAGGCAATATCAATGGACTTCATCAACAACCTCATAGAATCTACGCCAAACCGATTTCATGAGGTTTTGTTAAATCTGAGAGGCCCTATAAAGTACTGAAATTTGAGAAATACGATTTTTCAGTTGGATATTCATAATGCTGAAGAATTCACTAATGTCATATTTCGCCAATAGAGCCCATCTCGAACAGTTTTAGTGGATATAAAGTGTTATAAATTTTATTTTTCGTTTTACTTCTATTAAATTTTTATGTGATCGAATTCTTATGTAATATTGTAGTTGTAGTTGAAACTTGTCAGATAAGTTGTGAAACACACAGTATATTGAACAACAATACTCTGTGTCTCATACTTGGGCAATAAATATTGGAAATCAGTTGATAAGAATCATCGATATCAGGAAACAAGTTTCAATTGAGAATTTTCATCCTTTATTCCAATTGGAGGTGAATTTTCGAAAACGTCTCGAGTTAATAGTCTAATATAAATAATGGATATCGAGAAGGTCGTTTCTGAATATACTGAATCGAATGGGCCATGGTTTTAGTCACATTTTTGTTTTGTTTTTTACTGAGATGAGATTTTGTCCTATTTTCATATCATCCTGTATATTCCACAATAGTGCTTTTTTCGTCTTCCATTGTCCTCCACAAAACATGAGAATAGTTCTTTCCAATAGTCAGCTCAAGTGGAGTTCTAGAGAAAAAGTTCAAGAAATGCAAGACTATCGAAAAAAAAAAATCTAATTTTTGTTCCAATGGCCAATTAAGGATAAATCACGAAAACCTCCCGAGATGAGGTCCCAGTGTATCATAATATGACTGACTTTTGATCAGAAAAAAATGTCTCGCGTTCTGGCAGCATTGGAAATGTAGACCATAGTGTAATGGTTCCACTTTACACCCTGTGTAAGTTTTGTTCTGCGGACTTTTCCAGAGTGTTCTAGCTCTCTTTGAAGCCAATGGAATATCACATCTGATATCAAAAACCGCATGAAGATCGGTCAATTTTTTCAAAAAATACAGGTCTTCGAAAAAGAGTCAAATTATGAGTGGTCCATATTTAGTGTGTTGAGAACTGAATATTACTTTTTCTACAAGCGTGCGCGATTCACCCTATACCCGCACGCAATTTAGTTTGGGAAGTGTCATTTTCCCGCAACAGTGCGGGAAAATTTTCCCACACTAGTGCGGGAAAACAAAGATATGACAAAATCGCTAATAATATAAGTGGTTGGTGATGGAATATAAAAGTTTAAGTTCGTTTGTTGCAGTATTAAGCATGTTTGTTCAGAATCCCCCTATAGATTTGGGTTGATCTGATGGAAAACGATTATTGTTGTCATGCCATCAATCAAACCTCAAATAAGTTTGAAATTGTCGAAGTGACAGACACAGAGTTACTGTCATTTTCGATTCAGTGGAAATGCCACAATGTGATCAAAAACTTCTAGCTATAGGGATTCGATACAAATGCGTTATTACCAACGAAGTCTCGAGAAAGGTATGAGAAGCTATACACGCGTTTTATTGAATGGTGCAACAATAATGAAATGAAAATACCGAATGAAGAATAGGTATTTTTGACTTATTTCATAAAAGTGTCTGAAACCTAGACACCAAACTCCTTATGGGCCTGCTGGCTTCCGCAATGAACCAACATAATGCGTCAAACTGTAAGTTCACAATAGCTATTACTAATAATTAGTAGATAGAGAATATATTTCTCTTGTTAGCTGGTCCTATTTTCATGAATAATTAATTGAACGAATCAATCAATTTCCTACGCTTGTAGAAAAAATATTGTTCCTAACTCATGCGGAAAGTGTCTTTCCCGCACTCGACTGCTTGTCAACGGCAGTCGCGGGCGGGAAAGAATAACTTTCCGCACTTGTTAGGAAAATTACTATTTCAAAATTCATTTTATTGCCGATTCCTTATCCTCACCTGGTGGCAGAGTGGCGGCAGTCGGGCCGACCGTCGAGGCGAGCGTCGTGGGCGTCGTGGCCTCCCCCGACGTTGCACCAGAGGATGACTGACCTGCGGATGATTCGTGCGGAGCCGTTACGCCACCGGATATGGAAGTCGGGGGCGGAGAACCTACGGCAAATTCAGGAATGTAGTCTTCTCGGATGGCGAAAATGACGAAACGATGATGCGAATGAAAGACCTTGTCAGAGTGGATCTCGTAATCCGTTTGTTTATGAGAGTTAGGTGCGAGGTTTTCGATATGCAAGATTAGTATTTCCATAAAATTGATTGGGGGACATTGATACCGTTATTGCGATACTCTGAAATGTTTCGAACGATGAAACGGGATGGCGTCATGATTCATTCGTATTAAGGACTTTGTTCATTGTACACGGATTTGGTCTTCATAATATAACCTCTTAACTCTTTCATAGATGAAAACCCAAAGTCATCTCCACAACTTTTATTTAATGATCCTAGATCATATAAGGGAACATGTTTCGGGCTTATATAAACCCATCATCAGCCAAGAAAATGTAAAGGTATGGAAGTGAAAAATGTTGCAATGTGTATAAAATAAGCAATAACGGAGCAAGCAAAGGCCATTGCTCCATGATTGTTTATATAATAAAAATGTTTTTTAAATTTTTTTTTAAAAAGTTGAAGGTTTAGGGGTCGGGAACATATTTAATAAGGGTCCACGGTACCCTTAAATCACCGATAAGTGGTAATTAAACTCGAAAATATCAATCTTTTATAATAAGAAAGATGTGGCTTCGGAAATAACCCATTCCTTTCGAATTATTTTGTAGGTTAGCAGGAATTGCAGGTATGTTGATGTAATTTCCGGAGTTCGTAGAAAAATCATGGTATGTAACGCGTTTATAAACTCTTCTAGACACTCGTTTATTAAACACTCGCTCCGCTCTGCTCCGCTCGTGCTTAAAATACTCGTTACTAAAAGGACGTTTATAACACTTGTTACATAATATACTATTATGTTTAGAACAAAATTAAGAACACTATAATTCCTACGAAAGCGTTGTAAGGCTACTAACTGGCGTGTGTACTTTATTTCTTCTCTGAATTCAGCATTTTTTCTGAATTCATAATTTTTTCTGATTTCAGACGTTTTTCTCTGAATTCAGACTTTATTCTCGAAATTTGTACTTTATTCTCAGAATTAATACTTGTCTCTAGAAATAAATGGGAAACTATCAATGTATGGGGTCTAGCAGGAATGATTACAGAGATATAGGGTGTTCAAAATCGAGATTTCTCAATTTTAGGATTTTTTTGTGTCGAAACTATTCATTATCGATCAAAACGGCTTACATGTCCCTATCTCAACTTTTGATTCACTATCTACTGGAATTCAATTGAAAAAAATACAGGGTGCTTCAAGATTCAGAATTCTGATTACCCTGTATCTGTTCTGAATTTAATTGAAAAAAATACAGGGTGCTTCAAGATTCAGAATTATGATTACCCTGTATCTGTTCCAATTGAATGTCAGTAGATAGTGAATCGAAAGTTATGTTAGGGATATGTACGGCGTTTTGATCGATAATGAATAGTTTCGACACAAAACAATGTTAAAATTGAAAAATCTCGATTTCGAACACCCTATATCTCTGTAATCATTCCTGCTAGACCCCAAGTGTGATGCATTGATAAAATCAGCTCTTTAGGAAGAATCTGAAGATGCAATAAAATACAGGGTGTTCCATTTGAAATTACAAAGTTGCTAGTTGTTTCTGATAATAGTGGCAACACTATATCGATGAAAATATTTTAGACGGATAGAGAATGTTCAATTATCAGAGCAACCCAATTTTCAGAATGTTCTCTCTTTTCGTTCTCCAGATACCTCTAATAGGCCATCCACCGCGGATCACCCTGTATATGATTCACATTTTCTCACCTGGAACTATTGGTCTTCCACCACAATCGACTTGTTCGGCAAAGTCGCAATATCCTTTGCTGGAGCTGAACAACAACCCTCCAGGGCACTCTTGTTCCGTAGCAGATCCGTCCCAACAGTTGACGAATGTATTGCAAGTTTTGCTGGGAAATTGACCTCTTGGTTTCAAACATTTACTATTGAAATGTCCTTCTGAAAATAACATAATCATTAGTATCGATCGATTTTGTTAAAATAGTGTCGGTTACATCACTGGAATACTTGTAGACAGCCAGTCTTTCTGAAAATCTAAACAGTTTTTTGATCTCAGAATACTTATATCCAGGACAATTTTCATGACACAACGATTTCCTAATTGCTGATGAAATACTATGCACTGGTCACTGGTTAGGTAAGAAATCAATCACAGAAGCATCTGGGCTTTTACAAATCATGTAAATCAACTGAAAATATGACTATTCAATATTTTTGTCTGAAGAATATTGTATTACTCACTATAAAAAACCAGATTTGTTTTCATCAATGGTCAACCTAATGTACAGTGTGTAAGGGTCCTGAAATTTTCTGGAGCGAGAATGCACTCTGACTAAGTTGGGTCATCTTCAGTGATTTTCACTGCTCGCCAACAGCCACTCCAATTTCCGAAAAATGATATTAGGAGTGGAAATAGGTTGAAAATCACTTCGGAATCAGGACACCCAATTCACTGAATATTCATATTTTTCTTGAAAAAAATGTCAGTTCAGAGAATTTTATTTTTGTGTCACTTTTCATGGAAACACTTCCTTATCTTACTTAATTATCGAGTTAGGATTGTAAAATTTTCAGGAAAAAGAAATATTCCAAAGATATAGTCAATGACCAATTGAAATTACCATCAGTGATATACACTGCTCGCTAGCAGCCATGTAACACTTACATGCCCGGAAAATCATATTAGCAGACAAGATAGGTTGAAAATCACTTCGGATTCAAGAACAGAAAACAGAACATCTAATTCACTAACTACTCATATTCCTTCTGAAAGATTTTCAGTTCTGAAATAATAAATTCTGTCTTACTTTTCATGAGAGCACTCCAGTACCTTACGTAATTATTGATGTAGGAATCTGAAAATTTTTGGACCAAGAAAGAGACCAATGACCAAGAAGGATCATATTCAATGATACATTGCTCACCAGCAGAAACAGAACCACAGACATTCCAGGAGGAAAATATTATTAAATCGGAAAATCCACTCAATTCATTCACTCATCAGGAATAATGAAATAACAATCTGAACTAGTACAATCGAATAGATTATCAGGAGTGATCCAATGGATCAGAAATCATGACGGGTGTTATTGAAATGAATTATGAATGAATGAATTGGTAATAGTATGAAACAAATCGTGAAAATATGGAAGGTTGATGAACTGGACATCCTGTTTTCGAATCTGAAGTGATTTTCAACCTATCTTGTTTCTTGATATTATTTTTCCGGATACGTGTGTAGTTCCACGGCTGTTGGCGAGCAGTGTGTATCTCTGAAGATGACCCTACTTGGTCATAGAGTACATTTTTGATATATCTCTCGCTCCAGAAAATCAGCATCCCAACCCAACGATTACATTAGATACGGGGATGTTACCATGAAAAGTGGGACAAAAATTAATTTTTCGGAACTGAAAATTTTTCAGGAAAAATATTAAAAGTTAGTGAATTGAGCGTCCTGATTCCGACTTCGAAGTGATTTTCAACCTATTGAGGTGGTTCCATGGCTGTTGGCGAGCAGTGTAAATCACTGATGAAGATGACCGCACTTGGTCAAAGAGTGCATATTTGGGATATCTCTCGCTCTAGCAAATTTCAGGATCCTTACCCAACGATTCAGAAGTGAGACACACTGTATAAGTACCTATCTCATGACTTACTCTTTTGTGCAAAAAATACCCACGTGAAAGGTCCAAGCCTTGAAAGAACTCTAGAGAAATGTTTAACAACTCAACCTATCCTATTTAGTTGTTGAACTTTAAAGGATATAGCAAATTTTGTCAGACGTGTCAGAAGAAATTGAACGCATGTCTTCTTATATCGAGAACTGAAACCTTAAGCACGATAATAACACCATACTGTTCCACCATTAACGAAACCAATTTTCTCAAGCCTCTACATGCGTTTCGCTTACAATAATGTTAGAATCCTCAGGAGAAGACTATAAAACGATTTCAATATATTCTCCTGAAGATGCTAGCATAGTTAGCGAAACACATGTAGAGGCGTTAAAAATCGTTTTGATTATTGGTGAAATATTGTAGTGTGCATATCTTCTTGTACCGTCTGCAGACTCACCAGATGGAAGCAGTGCAGCTGGACTCTGAGCTTCCGCTGGTCCCTGAGCTACAGCTGGATTCTGAGCCGTTCCCCCCTCGATCACCACAAAACCAGGTGGTTTCCCTTGACCTTGACTATTCGACTGGCCGGCGTTCCCTCCTCCTTCTCCGACTTCTTGTACCTGGAAGTTGTTGTTGCCTCCTGCCACTTGGTGCACGTTGGTGATTGGAACCTGGATCCAGACGAAGCCTGGAGCGGAACTAGGTTGCTGACCGACCTGCTGCACGATGTTCCACTGGTTTATGTCCTTCTGGGTTGGAGATACGTCTGATGGTGCTGATTGAGCTGACAATAATGAGGAGGGATCATTTATATGTTCGGAATTGAATACATAAAAGCTATGCGATATTTCGAGGGCTTCCGTTGAGACAGAAATGTTTTGTGATTCTTGATGGGCTTGAAAACATGTTATACAATGTGTTTCTCTGGAATGGTTTTGGAACTTCCTAAACTGTCATGCACACCTTACGATTTTTATTGGGGATTATCGTTTCCATTGTTAAATTTACAGACTTTTTGGTTGATATCATGGTTCAGAAGTTGAGAATAATACTTGTTCATACTGGGTGTTATCGACATTGATACCTATATTGAACATATACAGGGTGGGGCAGTTGTATGATAGCTAGAAATTCGATTCAAAAACGAATGTGAATGAGACAACACGGTCCATAACTAGACTTATTGCCGCATATACAGGGGGCACTGAAAAAAAATCTAAAGGGTCAGAATCACTTTTTATAAATGGAATGTCCTGTATACTATAGCACATCCCTGTGTCCTCCAACAACTCCTATAATATTCTTGACTTTATTTCGATCATTTCAAAGGTAATAATTTTTTTGTCGAAATAATGTCATCTGCAGATGCATACCGACCGAAAATAATCACTGTAATCACAATTATGAAATTTGAGAGAGAATAATCATAATATCAGTTGATGAAAAGATGTGTGATATCTTTGTAGAATGTTCGTGTCCTCAAATTATACAGGGTAGCTAAAAATGATTTTTCAATTCCGTACTTTTGGAAGTGATTTTTCTCGAGTTTTTCGAATGGAACACCCTATATATTATCAGGCCATTTGGTGTAAAATCGAAACACGAACATCTTTTATCTCAACATCCAAATTGATATTCGTAACCATTTTTGGATTATTGAACCTCGAAAATTATACAGGGTGTGAATAAATAAATCTCCATTTATTTATCTAATAGTATAACCCTTAATCCTACCGTGCTTTTGAAAGGACTGCTGTTTTTTCCAGAACTGGAGATCGAATTTTTTTCATGATTTCCTCTCGACTCATTAGACCTTTTATTGATCGATTCCAAGAAAATGATAAACAAAATCGGAGAAAATGGTTTCGGGGTCAAATGGGTTGAGTTAGTAGTGATGTTGGCATTCTTCCTATTTCAGTTACCGTTTTCAACGTAACAGAATTGAGCTACTCAGATACCCAATATTTTATCCTATGCATATTTGGTATATGGGTACCAAGGTGACCAAAGTGAACTATGACCAAACGATTTTGTCACTTTGTTACTGATTCGGTGATTTTGAAAAACCGATTTAGGTATATACAGGGTGTGGATAAATATGTGGGAAAAATTTATGAAAAGGAGTTCATATATGAATATTTGTCCTAGCTTGTTTCGTTTTCGAGATACAGGGTATCAATGTTGCCGTAAGAAATCGTTGTTTAATCAATTATACTGACTATTTCACACATCACATAATCTGACCAATCACAAGCCAGAAACAACATATGTGCTGATCGCAAAAACATTAGATGTCTTCATATTCTGATTGGTATATCAGCGTTGATGTTTTCAACGATGTAACCATAAAAAGCGGAACAAAGTTTGGATGTAACCATGGATAGCGAAGCAAATTCTGTCAGATTGGCATTAAATGATTATGGCTGTACTCATCAGAATGAATCACTCATTTATAATAAATGCTTTTTATGCTTCGTGAACGTGGAATAGTCTATCAAAATACCACTCTGTTCTGAATATCTTCTCATAATTGTGTATTTCATTGTTAACTTAATTGTGTTGCCGTACAGCAATGTACAACACCCATTGGGATTTCTCAATAGCCTCAGAAAGCATCATCCTGAAATGTTGAGACTTTCTCAGTTACCAACCAAACTGAATTTTGGTACCATAGAAGCTAATACAGGGGAGAGGGGTCATGAAAAACCAATTATCATTTCTAACTTCAACATCCTGTACCTCAATAACGAAGCAAATTATTAGGACGCCTATCGTATATTTATACCATTATCAGATTTGTCAGATTTGTAAGAATAACTATACAGAAAGGGTCGGTATACAAACATGACCATATTAATACAATCCGTTTTTGGAATTGATAAATGATCAACATAATTAATTTTGCAGGTTGCAGTTGAATTCTCAAAATATCCTGTATATTCACCTTTATTGTTTATGTTGATTTTTCTTGAGATTGTCGACCCATTTCAGTCTTGCCGCATATTCCCATTCCCATTTTAGCTCGGCAGATATGCATATCAAAATAAATCGAGTTTTTTTAACTACAAAAATGTTATCGCTCTGCTTGGATGCCTCCATATAAATACCATGTCATCCGATTTTTGAATGTCATGGCCGATAAAATAACAGCAGCCTTTTAACTTTGGGCAATTTAGCATGTCGAGAACAGATAAGATGGTCCCTACCAAAAATGAAGAAGTGTCGAGGTGAGTGCACTTATCGCAAATGCAACTCATTCATCATAAAAAAAAGTGTCTGCCAAAAGGATCATCACAGACAATGAATCTCCAGCGTTAATTGTGCAGTTTACAGTGGCGTAACTACTATACCGCGAAACCCGTTCCTCGGAGGGGGCCCTGGGGCCCTGGGTCCACCAACCAGAGCAAGGACTCAGCCAAATTGGTTGATGCATGAATATTTTTTAATTATGAATATGCCACAGAAATAACTTTTCCATTTCTGCGAATAGTGCAGGCATGTTTTTTTCAGTGTAGGTCCAGGGTGGTGTGTGAAATCAGCGATACAAGCCAATTATTTTAAATGGAGAACTTGATTAAAACGAGTGGTGCTTCAAAAAGAAGAAGGAAACAAGAGTAAGAAGTAGAGAAGTGTAAAATTTCCAAGATCACCACGTTCTTTACGAATACTACTACTGGTTCGGATAATACAATTGAATATTATGATGAATGTCCATCAAGTAGTAGCAGTATGATGATTGAAACAGGAATGGATGTTGACTCTGCAATTATCATGGAAGAAAAACTATTTTTTTTTATTTTCTCTCCTCTTCTATATACCTTTATTTTTCTTCTCCAAACCTTTTTCAATACGAATTGCCACTGACAAGCTAGTGAATTTTTCTTTTAGGCTCTCTAATAGGAAAATTCTTTAAACGCAGTGACATTTTGGGGCAAATCAATTGATTAACTACACGTATATTGAAATAGTATTCATATTTTTATTTCACATGCTTGAAGCAAACCTTTAACCATGAAAATAATGCCACGTAATGCCTATACAATCATATACATACAACATAGGGTGTTTCCGAAATTGGAGCAATAAATGAAATAAATGATAGGAGATGGAAAAACAAAACGAAATGGAGGAATACTTTCATGTCAAAAAAAATATTTTCGAAAATATTGAGCTTCAGAGTTTGCGCTAAATTTTGTAAATCATTGATAAGAGGTGAATAGTCCAACCTAAGCGTTTCCTTTCGGCGAGATCGAGAGCACCAGAAGTATAAATGACTTTCGCAATGTTGCCGGACGTTCAATATTAAAAGATGAAAATTTTCAAGAACAATTTTTTATTTTTATTTATCTTGCCATTAGATATGTCTCTTCCAAAAACTGAATAATGCAAAAACTGCAGTGTGCAAGTTCATTTTCCATTTTGACAATTCGATTTATGTGTATTAATTATCGTTAGCCGCTGTGATTTTGTTATTATGACAACGAAAAATGTTTGCCCTAACTTTTCCGGCGATAAAACGGACTCAAACTTGCGTTGTCGGAAAAATAGATATACAGGGTGGTCCGGTTTGTAATACAAAAAACTCAACAGGGTGTTGTCCTCGTTGATGTAATGAAAAAAGTTCATAAAAACATATATACTTTTAATCGCGTCGTTTTTGAGATATAGGGTGTTGAAAGTACGAGTCTGAATATTGTTTTTAAATGAAATGTTCGAAATGGTTTGAGATAAATCAAAGATATGTTAGGTGTCTGCGTAGCCTATTGTGTCCTGTGAGTACTCCAATGATTTATCTCGAGAAGTTTCGGACTTTTCATCAAAAAACAATATTTAGACTCGTATTTTCAACACCCTATATCTCGAAAACGACGCGTCCAAAAGTATATGTTTGTATGATTTTGATTTATTATTCCAACGAGAACAACTCACTGTTGCATTTTTGTATTACAAACTGGACCACCCTGTATAATATGTGATATTGTCGTGATCTGGAGAGTGTTCCAGTGGAAAAATTGAAGAAACCATCAACAATAATGTGATTTACGTATTCATTAAATTGTCTTATCATTTATAATTCGGTTTTTGTTGCCTTTGGGAAATTGAAATTTCTAGGTGAATGAAACAAACTGAATTTTAAATAATTTTTCCACCTTTATGATACCCTGCTGACTATTCGGACTATCAATTTTAAGGTATTCGACCTTGAACAACAAAAAATTTGACCTGCGGTGCTTTTTTGATTTTGTCACCCCTGTGTCATGAACAAAGCTGTATACGCACGCGCCTCGCTATCGCGTTATGCTCAAAAAGTTACAATAATTAATCCTTTTCATAAAAGTGTCCATACACGTAAGATTTAGTCTACCTACGTAGACGGTAACCTGATATTACAAACTGTTTCGATAAAACTTTATGCGAATTATTGCGCCTACTCAAAACCATCAAGAAGATTTCGGACAACAGTAAGTGATCAAATAGGATATGGTCGGGACGTAAAAATTGGAAAAAAAATATTTACAAGATTATGTTAACCCACTCGGCAAGAAGGTCAATAACTGGGTTCAAGGTGGATATTGTAATACAGTTACATTTTAAATTTATTAGTCCACTCAAAAGTTCATCGACGTAATTAAGAAGGTGGTCCATATACAGGGTGTTTGTTTCACCGACGTATATCTGAAATGAGGTGATAGAGGTAAGATCATTTCGAACATATATACCATAAAAAATGTTATACAAAATGTTACGAATATCATCGTTTTATCTGCAACATTTTTTCTGATT